TAGTTAACCCCTTTGAGCCTGTAATCCTATTTTCTTTGGCAATCACATTACAAGCCTTACCCAATTATTTGAATTGACAATCTATTTGAACCTTGTACCTCTCGTGAGCACTTGAAATTGTTATGAACTTTGTAAAAGATGAAGTATTGGGTGGTTGGTTTGGATTTTGAGTGGAACTATTGAAATAAGTAGGAAGGTGCATTATTTTGAAAAAGTAAGCGCCACTTGAATTGAAAGAGAAAGAAAAATATGTTATATTGTTGTGAAAAATATTCTTTGATAGTGGTGACTCTTGATGTAAATGTACTTAAATAATTCGGGAGTTAATGTGTGTTGATGTGAAGGTGGAGTATGGTTTGACATAAGTGTGGGGTTTTGAATGTTAAAGTGTATGTATTAAAGTGCTTAGGGAGGTGTAGTCACTCTTATATCTAAATGTATCATACTCGTCCCGTAGCCTATATTATAACCAGTTAAAAGTCCTACTTGATCCTTGAATGAATGAGTTTAATTAGTAGAGTAGTACACTACGGAAAAGCCTATGGTTCATTTTTTGTGGCATATGAATGTTATTTCTAAGAGTGAACGAATTCTTTCTATCTTAAATTCTTAATTATTATTAAATTCTATGGTGTGAGGAAATACTCTCTATTGTGTGTGAGGGCACTTAATTAATGAAGGAAAGGTAATATCGTTGACCTCTATGTTAGAGTAAGTAAGCGAGTTGTGAATAATGCATGGTACTTGTGAGTCAAATCTTGAGGTGAAGATATTACATTATTTTGCTTAGTCTATTTTAAATATTCTTGGTGTGATGAGTTAGGAGAGTTGTTTAGTAAGGTTGTGTCTATATAAAATATGGTTTGATTGCTCGAGGACGAGCAATGGTTTAAGTGTGGGGTGTTGATGGTAGGCTATAATCTCATGTTTTAGTCGATTATTACATTCCAATTTACTGCACTTTAATTGAGCTTGAGCTTTAATCGCTAGTATTTTGCACTAATTATGTATTTTATGTCTTGTAGGAGTGATTCTGAGCTATGTAGATGTTATGGAATGAATTCAAGTGATTTGGAGATTTGAGGTCATAGTAAAATCCCAAGGAATTAAGCCGGGATCGTGTTCGGGGATCAACGGATGATAGTGGAACGAAACGAAGAATCGAGCAGGCATATTGCGTAGTGTCTAGTAAAATGCACATAACATTTCGCTCGGAACTTTGTTCGGGTCCACAATATATTATTGGAAAGCTAATTCAAAGGGCTATAACATTCATGTTTTACATGTTTTCCAATTCCCAACATAACAGGGTGAAAAGCGTGCAGTCGCGCATTGACCGCGCATATGGGGCAGAACAGTGTGAAAAGTGTGCAACCAAGTGCGCGGGCACACTTCCAAGTGCGTGGCCGCGCACGTCCAACTCTGGAAAAGTGTCCTTTTTCGCGTAGAAGAATGTGTATTTGTTTGGGCCCGACCCTACTTGGTATATATACATAGAAAAATGGTATTTTAAGGATTTTTGACATAATTTAGGCCTAAGGAAGCTAAGGAGAAGAGGGAGAAGCAAGAGCACAAGGATTTCACCATTCATCCTCACTCAAGACAAGGGTTTGGATATTTTATGTTTTTCTTTGACTTAAACAATTGTGATGAATTTCTACATATCCATGAAGTAATTCTTCCTTAGGGATTTATGAATTTGGTGTTTTGAGAATTGTTTATGAATATTAACTCTAGTTTTATATATTGAAGTGTTTTGGGTTTTTTTATTGTTGTATATATATATATTCACTCGTTTATGTAATCGAAAGAGGCATAATTTGTGATGTTTTGCATTATCTTATTGGTTGAATTTATTGATTCTTGTTACTAATCGAAAGAGGCTAGTTGAATTAATGTTTAGACCTAGCTAGGAGGATAATCGAGAGAGATTCTCCTAAGGATCAATCCACTACTAATTCTTACATATCTTCCCCGAGCTTAACTTAGTTCATATCGTAAGGTTGAGATTTAATCGAGAGAGGAGTTTCTACTAAATGTTTGAACATAATAGAGTGAATTCGAGAGATTCACTTGAACCATAGAAGTGAAGTAACTAGAGTTAATTCCCAAACAAGTATCTTACACCTATCCAATCAACTCCTATTTTCTCCCTTTGATATCTTCTTGCTTACTCTTGTTGCGATTGCCAGTAGCCAATAGTTTAGAGTTTTAGTAAATTTTATTTTTAAATCACACAACTCTAAATTGTTGATCATCTTGGATAGCAATTAAAATTAGAAGCTACGAAAATACTGTTTAAATCCAATCCCCGTGGATACAATATTTTCTATACTATATTCGATTAACGAGCATAATTTTGTGTTGTGTTTTTAGCTCGTCAGTGAGCCCTAATTCTTTGTCAATAGAGAATGTAATGGGGTATGTGGGGTTTTAGTTTGGTGGGGTCAAGTGACTTGACAGCTGACATGGAAAAAATTTGAGGGGGTCAACTGCCACGGTGTAGCTCCTTTGGGGTTAGGGGTAATTTTTAAAAGTTGATTAATGGTAGGGGCTAGATTGGACGGATAGTATAATGGGGGACAGAAGTAAATATTATAGTATAATAGAGGGGCAATTTTAGACCTTTTCCCAATTTTTAAATATACAAACTAGAAAAACTTAAAGGATTAATAAATGTCAAATATTCAAAAAAAAGATATTTATGTTTTGATTTTTATATACTAAACTCCTTACTCTATGTGGGTGGTAACTATTACAAATGTCCAACTTATCCTACTGCCAGTGCATTTGTGCAGTTAGAGTAGCAAATCTTGCCAGCTGCAATATTTTGATTTTATTGGATTGAAGTGAAAGGATAAGTTTATAGAACTAGCAAAAAGAAATCCCCAATTATGGTTCATTCAAACATACATTTATTCTGTTGAAATAATGCTTGTTGGGTTAAAGTAATTTTCTTTACGCCACCCACATGATGGATATATCCTTGTGAACTTCCCTTTTTTTTAGGTATATAATTTCCTGCCAAGACTTATTTAGTTCGTTTCAAAGAATGTTATTTTGATGGAATTTGATGCAAATGTCAAGGCTCAGACCTAATCGTTAGCTATAACGATGAAACTCTCACTACCCGAAAATAGGAAAATCGAAAAAAGAAAATAGTGTTTACTCAAGTACTATTGCAGTTGGTCTAAATGCAAGTTTCGCTAAGGATGTTCTAGCTTTAATATATATATATATAAAGTAATTTTTGATTTATATATGCAGTATAATTTTGTATATATACAATATAATTTTTGAATGAAGAGTGTTCAACTTACCACCCTACCTTGTATATGGCTATGCCACTGCACAATACAGTTTTTCAGCGTAAACATAATATCAGATATAATTGTCCTAGTGCTTCTTGATCAAAATACAGAAAAAAATTGATTATCTATTAGTGTACACTCATTAAATCTTCTTTATTCAAACAAACGGGCTTAAAATAGGAGCACCGTTGTAAATGACTATTTTCTTGATTTGAATATAATGTTAAAGTATACATGATTATTTGGAGTAATAATATATCTTGCAGATGTGTAGAATCTTCTCTATCTTTGTCAAGTTTCCATATTTTATTCATTTAGATGGCCGTGCCTATCAGGTTAAGAAAACTAAAAAGAATTATTGCTTAACTACATGTAGAAATGTTTTACCATTGACGTTGAACTTTCAACTTCTTCCGCTAGATTGGTTTACTACGGAACAGTAATTGAAACTATAGTTTGTGGAAATGTTTAATGTTTGGTTAATTCAAAGAAGATATATCTCTAGTCTATTGATAATATCAATTTTCAGAGAAAACTTTATGGTCAACTTTGCAAAAAGGCAAGAGTCTCCAAGTCATTCTTATTTTAATTTTTAATTAGTTGCAGGATTTAAAAATGAATGAATTAGGCGTTTGGGCACACATTATATATGTTATTTGCAAATATTAATTTGGTGCAAATCAAGGTTGAAAAACTTGTTTTAGGAGCATTTTTAGTGAAATCGGGGATTTTTCATTATTTCACTAAAAAATTATTATTTTTTAAAGTGAAATTCATGTTCAAACAAAAAACATAATCAAATTCATATTATTTTTTTCAACTTCAATCAAATTTTGCTCAAATAAATATATTTTAATGATATCTCTTGGTATCTCACATATAATGCATGTGCGTTCAACTCTCACTATCAATAATCTATCTTCCTTCAACTTCACTAATCCCTCGATGTAATAGAAATATTTTTTTGAATAGGAATGTTTTTCTTTAGTTATGTATTATGTACGTTACTACGTACAATCGCAAAATACCCCCTCTTGCCCAAAAGCTATAAATAAGAACAAACACACGAGACATCTTTAATTTGTAACCCTCGCGTAAGGCTGAATTTGCCTTCAATTCTTGCATTACTTGACCGAGAAATGCAACGTTACTGGTCTGTCTGAGCTTTCAGCCAGCAGACAAAACAACCTCTCCCACCCC